ATTTAACAGAGTTTAAGCGCTATTTAATTACAGGTGAATATTTGAAGAGTTCTCAGAATATTTTTGTTTGCGACTTTTATCCTCTGAAAGGATTTTTTTTCGCTCTCATAGGAAAACCAATAATTTGACATTTTATGCGCAAATTGATCAAATTTACACACGAAATGTGACAATCATCTTCGACTAGACGATAAAAAGTAGCCGACAATGATTTTTAAAATTAAGTTTCCGGTGTCTTAGAGAAAGGAAGTCACCCTGACGCGGGACGAGGCGGCGGCATTCTACGCGGAACACGAGGGAAAGCCGTTCTACGAGGGCCTGGTGGAGTTCATGACCAGCGGTCCGATCGTGGTCATGGCCCTGGCGAGAAAGAACGCGGTGAAGCACTGGAGAACCCTGCTCGGGCCGACGAACACGGCGGTGGCGAAGGAGGAGAGACCCGACAGCATCCGGGCCAAATTCGGGTCGGACGGGACGCGGAACGCCGCGCACGGCTCCGACTCCACCGAGAGCGCGAACCGAGAACTCCAGTTTTTCTTCCCCGAGTGTACGTCTTAAAAAGGAACATGAAGCACGAATCACTGAAATGTCTGTTGTCACCACACCTCGGCACTTGCCTGCACGGGACCGTTGCACCACCCCACCCCGCACCGGAACGGAAAAGCACTCAAAGTACCGCTATACCGACAGTGACGTTGAACGAGGTGCTGGAGGGAGAGCGTCGAGACAACTACCTGGACGAGTCCTTGAACCCCATCCTCATGAAGGGACTCTACGCCGTGAGCAAGGAACGACCCGAAAACCCGGTCGCCTGGCTCGCCGACTGGCTCCTGGCCAACAATCCCGGTCAGGCCTCCTCTTGATGCGACTCCATCCCCTCGCTCTCGTCCCCGCTGTCGACCGTGTCCTTCCCATCCCCACCCCTTCGGTGTCGGACGATCATCACGGTGGTATATCGGTGTCGTTAGCAAATATGCGTCACTGTCAAATCGGGCAACCTCGGTCCTAGACGGTCCCTCCTCGTTACTCCCGCTCACGAACCGTTTCTATCGACTCCGGCTAAGTATTTTGCACTAGCATTGCAAGGATTGAGAACATTTATTTTTAAACATAGACGAGGCCGTGGATACGAGTTCCCAAGGGAACCTACACGGTCGTAATTAGACTAGTACTCTTTGATTCATAGAACTCGTTGGCAGCCCAAGTTCCTTTCTCTCTTGCAGCTCGCTTAGTACCTCATTCTATTCTATCACCTTTTTCATGAGTTCATGAACAGCATGAATTCATCATGTACCTTTGGGCATGTGGTAGATACAGGAAAAATATATATTCCTGTATCACCATCACCAAGTGGTTCCCCTGAATCCAAACTTGGGAAATTTTCATCTGTGGTGAATGGCACGAGTTTCATGCCACAACATGACAATACCCACACCAGGCAAGGCGCTTCAATAGGATCAGGTGATGCATAAGTGTTAGTTTTCTCAATATTTCAGGCATTTTATAGTCTTTCCACTAAAATCACCTACCCAGTGCTCTAAGTATCGATGTTAGGAAAAAAACCCCACACTACATTCACTAATTAGCAGTTAATTCTCATAATTATTGAAAAAAGCATGAAAGTGACACCATCAATGGACACTTTATCTACTGCAATGGGTGTCGTGCGATAGTAGCACCCACAATTAATCCACCCCATTGAGTCGTGTGCATGCAGTGCAAAAACTGGCAGTTTTGCAATTCTACCGAAATAGCAGTGATGCAAGAAAAGAAAGAATTGGTCTGATAGCATGCTAGGAGGGTTGTAACATGAAAAAGCCCAGTAGATGAAACTTCACTATGGAGGTAGGTGTGGTGAATAAAGGATGGAAATGAACAAGACATCCATGGAACTGTCAAAAAGATTTACATTGCATGACACAAAGCATAACATTTGCCAACACTTGCAAGGTGGATTGTGGAACAACACTTTCTCAGGAAAACCTCATTCCCAGTGTCCCCAGAAACACCCGGAGACATTCCCAAACGGATTCTCGGGCTCTACGAACGCGAGGCCTGCCGACAGTCCGCATCGATCTTTGATCTATCGCATCTCTCGCTGGAATTCAGAATGAGCTTACCTTTTCTGCACAATAGGAAGGGGAAGACTGAAGACTCTTGGAATGGGTTATTTCACAAACCAGTCCTCGCAATCATTTCGCATCATTTTATCCAGTTCTTGCAACAAAAAAAAGGTGCTCTGACTGAAAAGAACTCCAGTAAAAAATCTGGTGCTGTCTCACCAAACGTACTGAAATAACATGGTATTTATCCTTCAAGTCTACAACTTACATGTTGAAATTTGAAATATTTATCCATGTTATTGAAAAGAATGTATTGACAAATGTACCCCTATGCACTGGCTGCAATAAAGTCTCCTATTGTTTCAACTGTTGAAGGTGCATCTAGGCTTTCCTTTCTTGATTACCATGGCACAATGCAGCTTAACTTTCAATCAGGATTTTCTTACACAACGATCATTGCCTATTGCAGCAAGGCAGGGAATGAAAAAATACATCAAAGGCTGTGGGATCACAAATCACGAGATGATCTAACTGAAAGGTAAAATCGTATCACACCAGATAACAGTTGTCCAATGCCCTCAAAGGACACTGAGGCAGAGGTGGCTCTTCAAATCTTGCCTTGCTCTGCCCACAGGTTCTTGCAGAAGTCCAATTTCTGCAAAAGAAAGAGTAAAAAACATTACTTTCAAGAGGGATAAAGAATGACTGGGAAGGAGGGAAGCTATAACTAGCATGAGTTTCTTTCCAAGTTGCCCATCTTGGCAGGGCAACAAAACACAACCAACCAAAGCAAGAAAATTTGATATGGTTAAGCACCATCTTTTGCACCATCAAGAAGCCCCTTTCTTTAGAGTTAATTTAATTTGATTTAATGAGCTAAGCCATGTCATGAGGATGAAATATTAAAAGGAACTGAATGAGAGAGGATAGGGAACACACATTGCAGGATTTAGCATGGAGCAAGGACTGGCACCAGTAGGTAGATCCCCAGAAGCATCGCGGTCCACCGTACAGCTGCAGGAGACCCGATTCCTTCGGGCAGACGTCAATTGCACGGCAAACCTTCATGCTGTCATTTAGCTCTCCAAGGAGATCCAGAAGATATGGCCCAAAGGTGTCAATAAGCTCCTCACACTGCCAAGGATATCAAAGGAAGGTAAATCTATTGAGACAAGTGTGCATACTTCAAACACCAGGCAATGTCTTTTTTTCAAGCTGTTTAAGCCTGAAATGAAATCAATGCTAATAAGAGTGCAAACAGAGATGGAGGGAGAGAATCCTTCCTGAAAGAGGATGAGGACGACATTCTGATACATATTTAAATTTTATTCCATTATTTAAAGTGCTAATCAGAAAACAGAACAAAATTGTACATTAACATCCTGCATTGCAAAAACATCAATGTGGTATGAACACAGGGCATAATTTAACTGACAATACCTGGAGAGAATAAGAGGCCGGCATGATGTGGCAGACCTTGACCAGATCATCAACAACATACTTCTCCACGTCTTCGTTCTCAAGGAGCCGGTCCAAGTAATCAATGACCATGCGACATCCATCACACTTGTCCAGCTTCAAATCCTGGATGGGCACTGCTGGCAAAAGGGAATACCATCACAAAATGCACACACTTGTCTAAATAGAAGGATTTTCCTATTCTCATCATTTCCTTGTCCCAGACATGAGTCTTCCAACTTCTGCCCAAGGTTCAGGCAGAAACATAGCCATTAACTTAGTAATTCTACTCATTTAGAGAGGGTAATGAATAAATTAACCACATGCATGCCTTTTTATAACAGAAATGCAAAATTATGGTTCTTACACATTATATTGTATATTATTTATACAAGGTAGGCATAATAAAGTGGCAACTCTTATTCTGCTATCAACTAATTATTGTAACAAGAAAACCTAAAAAATTATGCTGCTACTGATGTAGACAATGCAGGAAATGGCACCATCATGAATTGACTGTGATATATTTCCTCATATATCTACATAGCGAAGTAAACAGTTTTTATGCTATGAATTTGCTTAAAGAAAACAATTTCCCTATGAAGTAATAATTTTTTAAATAACTTTATTTTTAATCATGGTTCAATGCTATATCTTACATGTAATCATACTTTACCTTGCAATGACATTCAAAGTGGCCTACAATACTAAAAGGAAATGATTGGTCAAATATTTCGTTTAAGGCTTGAAGGCTCTTTGAAAATGAGGTTTTTCTTTCCACACTAGCACCAGTGATACATCTGACTGCTGAAATTAGAAATTGATTGGATGGGATCAAGTGATGCAACAGTATCCACAATCAGAGGTGTAAAAATGTCTGATCCAGGCAACCATGGTTTATCATCCCAGTTAAGCAGGTGTGTGAAGAGATCCTGTGTTTTAGGGACTGAGCAGAGGCAAAGGGGAGGAGGGGGGATATGTTTGGCAAGAGATCAATTTTAAGCCACCACTAGTGATTCAATGAAAACGCCCATGTAGAGGCCTCTAGCAGGATCTAATGGGGAATGTACAGAGGGGCATAGCCATTCAGAAACTTTTGACACTTAATAAAATAAAGGAATGTCATTTGAGGTTGGGTCATTAACTTATTGGCATTGGAATTATTACACCATTTGCATATAATATTTTAGCCTTTATTTTTAAAAAAATAATTACTTTACAAAATGCAATGCTTAAAGAACTAAGCTTGAGCATAAGGCTTAAATCTGCTTGAAGGAGGTTCCACTGAAAGACTTGTTTTGAATTTCCATCCTAGTAATGGACTACAGTGCCAGGGAGCAATACTACAAACAGTCTCATAGCTCAATGCCAATGGGGTAAAGGTTTTCCTGAAGGAGCACTTCAATCATTATTTACATTTCTGAATGGGAATATTGATTTTTATTGAATTAATACTTCAAGCCTCTCTTTCCATCTATCCAGTCAGTCAACAACCTTTGAAACAGAATGCAACTTCAACTTGTATGCTTGCTGTGTCCTTTACAAGAAATGCCAGCTACCTCTTCCTCAAGAGCTTGAACCAGGAGCTCTTTGGCTTCCCAAAGGGTATAAAGATTCAATTAGGGCACTTTGTCATTAGACACCAGCAAATCTTCTCTTTGATGGGGGATGGAGATCAATGTATTCTATCAACACTGGGGTCAAATGAGGCAGCTTGAAAAAAGGTGCAAAGCAAACAAATAATCTGTCAGCAAAAAGCCAGGTAATGCAAGGTTGACTGCCAACTGACTGTTTAAAGAGCAAAGAAAGGAGTTTCTGAGGTGCACAATATGGTCTAATCCAGAGATCAATACCTCTCACTTTGTGAAATATACATTCAAAATCATGATCTCTTTTTTAATGTCGATGGTAATGCTGCCTCTAATTTACAGGTCAGGTGAATTTGATCAATGTTCCCATTTCTCACCTTCTATCCTCCTCATTAGGACAAGGTCCTACAACCCCAGGATGAGGAAACCCACAATACTGAGATCTTTCAGCCTACACACTTTGCATGGAATGAAAAAAACCTATATCATTATTGCTGAACATACCAACAGTCACATGGTCACAATCACAATCTTCCCAGGTTCCACTCAGGTGCTTGATCATCCTGTCCTGCTGATATCTTCCCACTGCCACTTGTGGGATTTATCTTTTTGTAGTCAAGTCATCAATTACATTCTTCCAATCCATTACCAGACTTCATCACTGACTGTCTCATGTCTTCCCGCACTTTTTTTTTTGCATTATTCCATTTTTTCCCCTTGCCTTTTACTCTCAGTAACTTATTTTTGTCTCCCTGCCTTGCCTTTCTAAATTGGTTGCTACCCTTCCCAGTAATCTGGTAACCAGGTTAAAGAACTTTTTCCACCTCTGTTCACAATATTCAAGACATCACTTCAAACAGGAATTTGCTTTTTGTACAAAGGATCAAGTGAAACATGATTTATTGCATCAATGTTTTGGTCCAAGGCAAACTCTTCCCACTTCTCCCTATGGAGCCATTTTACATTGAAAACTTTGTATTCTATGAAAAATTGCATTCTATAATATAATTGACAAAAACCATGACATTAAAAAAATGCTGATAGCAAATGGTTGCTATTTCCTTTTCTTCAAGCCAGATCACAGATGGACATGCTCTTACCTTGCATGGTTTCACCTGACGACATGCAGAGCTGGAGCATACTGCAAACCTCCTCAGGAGCCAGGCTTTCGAGGAGTTGGATCAGAGACTCATAGTATTGTTCTACAAATGCATTGCATTCTCCCCGCACTGTCTTTGGGAGAAGGCTGCACACCTGCCGTAGTGCCTCCTCAATCTGGTGCTAAAACAGAAGACAAGTCAAAGTAAATTGGAATCTTCCCAATGCCAATCATTCAAGAAGGAATAGATATTGTATAATCAGTCGGTGGCACTGTGGCCACATCAAATGGCACAAATTCCTGAGACATTCATAAAGCAGGTGAGCATCCAATCCACTTAATGACATAGGAACCTCTTCTGCACATGTCACCTTTCATTCCCACTATAATACAGGATGTCCCAGAAGGAGGTACCCATTTTTATTTCTTGAACATGCCAAACATGCACAAGATTTTGGACAAAACTTATATGGGATAGGAAGAGTGGTCTTTGAAGTTTTATCTGATATATAACTTTTCTACTTTTATGGACCATTATTGATGACACATTTTTTTCAGAGTGAACAGTGTCAGGGTACCGGAATATAGAAGAAAGGTGTAAGATGGTGGTGTGGATGGAAGCTGCCTTGCCTGTGGGGATGACATTGTCACTGTCCCTTTTTTTTAAAACTTTTTGCCAAAGCATTTGTTGGTTTTGCATGTTAGAGGGCACGTCTGAGAGAGAGAATGCCCTTGTTATTCCCTCTACACAATCACCACACTTTCATTAATATCCATCCACACAGCTCTCTCACACCTTTCCTCCAAACCTGAGTACCCTGACATGGTTCACTCTGGAAAAAAAAAGTGTCATCAATAAGGGTTCATGAAAGTGGACAAGTTGTACATCAAATAAAACTTCAAAGACCACACTTCCCATCCCATATACGTTTTGACCAAAAGCTTGTGTACATTTGATGTATACAATAAATAAAAATGGGTACCTCCTTCTGGGACACCCTGTATTTAGGATTCTGAACATCATTTCAGTCCAGTCAAATCATTATAATTCTGGTAAAAATCTGCTAAATCCCATTGCTTAATATGGAATTTCTGATATCCACATTGCACCATAACTAAAATGATGAATGTCAGTATGTGAGTTTAACTGAGATGGATCTCACATCAGTGGCATTGTCCTTGAGGAGCTGCTCCAGCTCTTGCATGACGAACTCGCAGATCACACATTGGGCAGAGCCAACTTTTTGGCCTGAGTTTAAGTTCCCTGACTCCCCCTTGGGTGTGATGCTAAGTCCAATTCCATGGTTCTCTGGGATGAAGATTCTCTCCAGTGGGAGTTGTGCCTTTGCCGCATCAAGCGGCAGTGGTGGAATCTCATTGCTCTCTGTGGAAAGATGGAAAGCAAAAGTCGTTCACAAGAATGTTCACTGTAAAACCTGTCCAATGTGCAATTAACAGTTCTGTGCTTTTAAAATACTCCTAAGTAAAAGCAGCATGAATAGTTTACCCATAAAACCTTTTAATTTCTGTTTAACCTGCAGTGAAGACCCAAAGAAAGCCTGGATGTATTTCATTAATTATAATGGTTCAACAGCAAGTACAAATGGTTTAAAAACACCATACCCTCGGGTATCAACTTCATTTTGAATAACTCAATGGAAACAAAGAAGTTTACCCAAAACAGATGGGGTTTTACCATTCAACTAAATTAGAAAAATTTTTTTTTAAACAGGTATACCATTTTGAAAGTAAAAAAGCACTTATTCAAAAATGAGCAGCCATGAAGAATTTTTTATTTCATGAATTTTGGAGAGAATATATAGAGGCCTTCATGTAAATACTCATTGGTGACTAAAAAGGTTAAAACCTGATATAGCTACAGACAGATCACGATGCATGATGTCCACATGAAACATGCAGTGTCATCCAATATATGCATGTGAATTTCTGTAAATGAAATTGGTCAAAAAGAATCCAAAGAGATTTTACTCAGCATGTCAAATGAGTACAAGAGTCAAATGAGTACAAGAGTCAGCAGAGTCCAGATTTAGCCAAGTAAAAGCCATATTTTCTATTTGAATGAAGCTGAAAAATTGTTTTAAATTTGTGTTTCATCAGTCTCAAATTCAAAATATTCTCAACTTCATGAAAACAAAAGTTGCTAAAACACTCTCTCCTCATATTCTCACCTAGAGATGATTTCTATTAATTAGATGTAGCAGTAAAAAGAAATTATAATCATCTGATCCAATATTTCAATCCTCAACAAAATTGTTTTGCCCCCTTATGGATAGGAAAATATACAAATTTCTAATAGCACAACTGGGAATAAAATTAAAAAACAATTCAGCAATGACATGTGATTGTAATACAGGATTTTTAAGGATTATACTGTGGGAAAGATCTNTTAAGTTCCCTGACTCCCCCTTGGGTGTGATGCTAAGTCCAATTCCATGGTTCTCTGGGATGAAGATTCTCTCCAGTGGGAGTTGTGCCTTTGCCGCATCAAGCGGCAGTGGTGGAATCTCATTGCTCTCTGTGGAAAGATGGAAAGCAAAAGTCGTTCACAAGAATGTTCACTGTAAAACCTGTCCAATGTGCAATTAACAGTTCTGTGCTTTTAAAATACCCCTAAGTAAAAGCAGCATGAATAGTTTACCCATAAAACCTTTTAATTTCTGTTTAACCTGCAGTGAAGACCCAAAGAAAGCCTGGATGTATTTCATTAATTCTAATGGTTCAACAGCAAGTACAAATGGTTTAAAAACACCATACCCTTGGGTATCAGCTTCATTTTGAATAACTCAATGGAAACAAAGAAGTTTACCTAAAACAGATGGGGTTTTACCATTCAACTAAATTAGAAAAAAAAATTTTAAAACAGGTATACCATTTTGAAAGTAAAAAAGCACTTATTCAAAAATGAGCAGCCATGAAGAATTTTTTATTTCATGAATTCTTGAGAGAATATATAGAGGCCTTCATGTAAATACTCATTGGTGACTAAAAAGGTTAAAACCTGATATAGCTACAGACAGATCATGATGCATGATGTCCACATGAAACATGCAGTGTCATCCAATATATGCATGTGAATTTCTGTAAATGAAATTGGTCAAAAAGAATCCAAAGAGATTTTACTCAGCATAATGTCAAATGAGTACAAGAGTCAGCAGAGTCCAGATTTAGCCAAGTAAAAGCCATAATTTCTATTTGAATGAAGCTGAAAAAATTTTTTAAATTTGTGTTTCATCACAGTCTCAAATTCAAAATATTCTCAACTTCATGAAAACAAAAGTTGCTAAAACACTCTCTCCTCATATTCTCACCTAGAGATGAATTCTATTAATTAGATGTAGCAGTAAAAAGAAATTATAATCATCTGATCCAATATTTCAATCCTCAACAAAATTTCCCCCTTATGGATAGGAAAATATACAAATTTCTAATAGCACAACTGGGAATAAAATTAAAAAACAATTCAGCAATGACATGTGATTGTAATACAGGATTTTTAAGGATTATACTGTGGGAAAGATCTTTTGGGAGATATAGTGTATCCCACGCCATCTTAGATAAAACTGTCCTTAAAAAAAAAAAAGAAGTTATTGTGCAAATGTGAAATAGACAACTTCTACATGCCTTTTCCTGTCCTCATGTGATTGGCAAACACTACTAGCATCAAGTCATGGTATTCAATGCAAGCCTTGATAGAAGAAAACAAATATGGCATTTTCGCACCCAATGTTCTTCCAATCAAGTACCTGTGCAAGAGAATTGGATTCAACACCCTATTTGTATCATCAATTAAGAAGTATACAACTCACATATGTACTTTCTCATAACAGTTCCTCGTCTCACTCTTTATCTGCATAGTCTAGAACTGGATGGAACAAGATGTATACTGCTGCAGAAGTTTCCTTGTGAGCATTGCTGATGTTGCATTAGAGCAAATGAAGGACTTAATTTTATTCGACCTCTGAGCTAATATGGGAGTTCGTGGAAGTTAACATATATGAACCACATAGAGGAAGAAGCAGCATGGTATCTTACTTCTGAAATTTTGTCCCAGATTGAAAATGCATCAGAAACTGTAGTAGGTGCAACTAAGAATGAAACTGTTCCTTTGCAAAGGCTGTTTTCAAACTTCTGAAATATATATAGCTCAGAAATCATCTTAGTACTCAGGTCAGAAAAGCAGATGCTACTTGTATAATGGATATAAAGGATGAGGAAAAACACAAAGCTTCTTGAATTTCTATATCCAGAAATTCATCATTGCAACATCTGTGCCAAGTGTTGTATTTTTAATGTTCTTGGACTTTTTGCACATATGTCCTATTGTTTCCACAGGAAATGTTTTTCCCCCAACTGGTTTATCCACTAAAGTATTGATACTTTGAAGACTAAGAGTGAAATATCTGAAATTCCTAACCCTTAGCCAGTTCTCCCTTAAAGAGGGTCACCAGTTTGCTTGTTTACATTTACTCAAACTTGTCCATCTCATCAGTTGTGATTATGATGCTGTCTAAGGGAAACAGAGCAGTATTGAAGCTATTCCCTGGACATGTGGGTATAGACTTATTCAAAAAAAACAATTCTTTATTACCTTGAAAACCATACATTTCCTTTAGCAGATACCAAGAATGAACTAAAGGCTAGTTAATTAATAATTAAGGTTTATATCAAACAAGGACTATTTTTACAATCACCAATTAACAGGATGAAAGTATCTGCTAAATTACGATCCCTAACACTAGGATCTAGGCAATGCCATAGTAATCTCTTCTCCATGGCTTCCTAAACAAATACCTAAAACTTTTTGAATTAATAAAAAATCAAGCTTAAATCTCATTAACAGTGCCTTCTGGACCAGGCTACCTTACCCATACACAATACATGAGTACTATTACAGTTCATTCAATTGCAATAAGAGATTAAAAAACAAACCAAATTCAGGTTCCTGGGTGGATTTCTTCTTGCAGAGTCGGATAAAGCGGCATATTTCCTCTGGGTTCAGGTCCATGATGAGCCCATCAACAATCTCCGCCTCATAGTCATCCACCAGAGTCTTGCATGCAGTCTTCAGTTCTGCTGGTATGTGCTTATCGCACACTTGCACCAAGGCATCATGAATCTCCTCCTTTTCAGAAAGAGGGATGGAATTGAAGAAAAGGGATAAGAAAGAGCTGGGGGACAACAGGCTATGATTGCAACTTCATTGAACAAGAAATCAGGCCTAAAAGTTCCAACAAAGGAACTTTCATGCAGTACAAGGATGCATCAGCAGACTGAGGGGAACCACCAACTTAAAAATTTGAATTGCATGGGGTGATAAAAGGACTTGACATAGTGAGGTAAATATAAAACTAGTTGCCCAAGCCCAGTTTAGAAAGCCCACCACCCTATTCCACTGATAAAGAAGATTTATCCCATCATTTCCTTAAACAAAGTGCAATCATTCTTCGGTGCTGCACAAGCACATTGAAGTTTTTGTGTTATTGACCTATGAAGCAGGAAAAGTTATGTTACAAGCATAATAAATCAGTTCAGTAGAGTGGAGTTCATTGATTACAAATTAAATTGGGACCATCAGTAGGAATTAGTCAAAATGCTTATATAGCTACTGGGTAATGAAATTCCAACCAGAGATCCATCAAACAGGAGCTCAAAGAGAGAGAGAGACATTGCATTAGGCAATCCCCGGAAAAATAATGCTAAGCAAGCTTCTTTTTCACATCATACAGTCATACACCTGACCCATACATTCCCAATTTGTCAATATCCTCTCAACAATACTCAAGAATACACAAAAATAAATAAAAGAAAATGAAAGAAAAAAGAGCAATGGACTCACCTCAGTACTGTTCTGTGAAAGGTAGTTCCTGATGGCGTAGAGAACAAACTCACATGCCTGGCAACGAAGATCTGGCTCTATAGTTGATGTCAACAAAATCTCCTTTGGGCACAGGTTTAGCTGCTTGCAGAGCTGTCAAAGCAAGAAGGGGTTCACTTCAGTTAACTTTTCTAATAAGATGGCAAGAAAAAAAATCAGCATAATGAGGGTACCTGTATAGGTAGACACACATGAAGAAAACCAATGCAACAAGAATTAGGGCAACTGATTAAATGTGTTCTTAAAAATACAAATCACAATATTTGTTTAAACATGGCACTTACAACAGAGGGATCGATGTTCTGCACAAGGAGGGCAATGATGAGGTCCCCATAGGTCTGGATGAAATTATGACATTCTGCCCGTACATAGGATGGAAGCACGGAGCACACCTGTCCTACTGCCTTTTCTATCTCCTCCTGGGCAAGTTGATTCATGGATATTATTAAAACATGGATCCCCCCTCTCACTAAAGTACATTCATGTGGGTAAAAGCTACCTGTTTTGACACTCCTTTACTCACAAACCTAATCCAAGTCTGTCTACCAATGGTTCAACAAAAAAAAGCTCTAACAATGTGTCAATGAATTTAATCAGGCTGTGATGAGATTGTAAATACAAGGGATGCACACAATAAAATTTCCAGGGTTTTTGAGAGGAATCAGAAAATGGTAAGGACTACTTCATTTCCATTTATGACTTAGGAATTTCAATTAGCAGGCCCTGTTGACTTCACACATTTCACACTCTCCTCATTTCTTCAAGATGGTCTAAAAGTCTGCATGGGCATGTCATGGATCTATTTTCAAGTAATCATAGCAAAAAGGTGCTCGATCTTATGACATCTGAGGGCTTCACCTTTGGAGTCACAAAAACTAACAAAGAAACTATACATGACTGCAGAAGGCTAAAAGGTAGTACCTTGGTGGGTTCCTCTGAGAGGTAGTTCTGGAGTTCATGGAGAAGGTACTGGCACATGATGCATTCCTCACCTGAGGCTTCACTATTCAAGTGCACCTGGGACACTGAAATACACACAATGCAATAAACAAGTCACATTCATTCAATCCATATAATTTACTGCACCCAAGCAACAGAGTCCACTCAATTCAATTTAATTAGCTCCTAAACTGAACCCTTTCATGATTTAGGATAATTCTCATCACTTCATTCTCATTAAAAATGAGACATTCTTCACTTTAATCATGGAAACACAAGATCACGAAATATATACTTTCCAACTCTACCAGGAAAGAATACATGTCAATTGTGGAACCATGGCATAAGTAACACTAATGCAAGCAAAACAATTTTGTTGACTATGGAAACAGCCTCTCGGGAACCAGAATGGCACCTACCAATGGTTGGGTCTTTCTTAAGTGAGACCCGATGGAGGTGTGATACTTCATCCTTCTTCTCCTCTTCCAGCTTGGCTGCAGCTGCCTCATCAGTCCCAATGATGTGCATAGGACTTTCCAGGGGGGTAGCTGGGATTTCCTTCTCATTCAACTTGAAGGCAGCTGCTTCATCAGTCCCAATTATATGCATAGGACTTTCCAGTGGGGTAGCTGGGATTTTCTTCTCTTCATCCAACTTGAAGGCAGCGGCCTCATCAGTTCCAATGATGTGCATGGGGGTTTCCAGTGGTGTGGCAAGGATTATCTTTTGCGATGGCAGCAGAGTCCAGATGTTTGCCTGGAAATGAAAAAAAAAACGATTTTTTCAAGTTTAATCTAATGGAGAAACAAAATTTATGACTTCTTAAAACAGAATTAATGCTTGAAATTTGACAACAGGGTACTCAGTATGCTATAAAGCCTCATCCCACTGATGAAAGAAGGAAAATCAGGATGGGAAAAATAAAATATTGCTGCCATTGTAGACCTTGCTTTCAAGGATGGAAGACAGAAATGCATGGGTATCAGGAAAGGATGATAAGTATGCGGAACTAAACTAAATGCTGCACCAATGGGAACCATTTTCCACATTTATGATATGGAAAAATAAAGGTCTCCATGAAACCTCTCCTTTCATTGGAAATGAATATAATTTACCTTTACACATAATTCACATGGCATGTAGCTTGATATGTTCAGGAGAAAAGTGAAATTTCTTTAAAATTAGTTTGAAAAAATAAAGGCTAAGGAAAGAATTGAATATTAAAAATGGACAAGAGTTTAAACTGGTAGTTGAAAGGCAATACCCTGTGATTCATCCCAACCTTAAATTGCCACCTTTGTCCTCATTTGAAGATGAAAGAGGTAGGCTCTCATTGACAAATCAGCTAGCATCTGCCTCAGCATGACTGTCTTCCTTGCAACCAGGCTACAACGAACACAGATGTTCATTTCACTCAATGAGGTCTTTAAATAAATGAGGTTTAATCAAGGTCCTTTCCCTTGACACTTTCAAATAGGAGAGACTGAAGGAATTGGCATTTCAAATGGTCGAGTTATAAATTATCTGCAATGATTCTTTTTAAAACTCATGCTACAAAGCCCTATTTTCTAAACTCAAGGAAACGGAGAATGGAGACAGACCTGCTGGATGGAGACAGAAGGACAGAGATAGATGGCCCGGCAGATCTTCTTAGGATTGAATTGGTGTGACATCCAGTCATAGAATGGTACAGAATACTTGTCCACCAGGCTCAGGCACTGTAACATACCACCAATCAATTTTCCATAGACTTCAGAATTTAGTTCAGTTGTTCCCTTTGAAAATCCTCAGCAATCAAGCACTTTCAATATTTTGATCACTTACTTGATTGTATTAATGAAAGGTGTTTATACCACTGACATTGTGCTCACTGGGCAAGCACAAGAAATGAAAGCAGGCAGCTTCAGGGACAATTCTGGCCTTGATGAATAGCAATGCCCATTACACATCTGAGCCATCAAAATATCAATTGAAAGACAAGAGGAATACTGCCTGATTATCTGTGCTGGTAATTAGAACTCATTGATGCAAGCTACCATTGGTAAGCAGTCTGGACCAGGCAATTTCTTTTATAACAATAATAATAATAATAATAACAATAACAAAAATGCTTTTCCCTTTGGTCAATGATATCATGAGACAAAATACATAGACATACTGAGACAAAAGTCAAAACATACTGGACAAAAGATTCTTTCATTGAATTTTCATCAAGATTCATCCCCAATTGCTAAGAATCTAGACACCAGGGCTCACTTGTATTTACTTCCTTTAGCAACACAATTTCTCAAAGTGATAAACCTAAGTTTTGATTTATTTATTACTTCCTGAAAATTGAATAAGAAATTTACAAAGTGTTTGAGACAGGAATGGGATAAATACATAGCTCCAAAAAAAAGAAGTCAACAATTGAGAAGCATCAGGTAGGGTAGACTCTTTGATTTTTCCTTGATTACCTTGTCATAAATGCTATGAATCCTCAAGTTTGGTGCTCAAAATTAAAGAGTTACACCCACTGAATAAGCCGAGGGGACTGTTCTCTTTTCAGCATGGAACATTATTCCAGGATTAGATGACAGGATAAGGACTTCATAAAAATAAATAACACTGATAGGCTGGAAGTGGAAATGGTTTTGCACCTACCTCTTTGGAAAAAGTTCCTGTCTGTTTGCATAAGCCTTCAAGGACCAAACGGAATTCCTGGGCAGAGGTGTTGGAGACGATCATGTCCCTCCAGTGTGTGAACACAGCCAAACAGAACTGACACTCCTCTGATGGCTCTCGAGGGACAGAGACTAGTGAACGAACGGGAGATTCCTCCAGCTCAGACATCCCAGGGACCTTCGAGGGGACCGTCCCAGTTGGATTGCAGGTTCCCAAATACAGGCAAAGTGTTGAGATATCCATCTCTTTGACCAGCTTCACCAAGGAGTCAGAGTACTGCTGAACTAGCATCACGCATCCATCCGATTGGCTTCCCAGGTATCCACAGGCCTACATAGGCAGACAAAATAAAGCCTTCCAACTGTCTTCCACTCCAGCTTACAAGCTAGATCTGTTCTAGAGTACTGCTGAACTAGCATCACGCATCCATCCGATTGGCTTCCCAGGTATCCACAGGCCTACATAGGCAGACAAAATAAAGCCTTCCAACTGTCTTCCACTCCAGCTTACAAGCTAGATCTGTTCCGCATCATACACTGGAACATGGAGCTGCAGCATATTCATGTTAAGATATGTGCCTCATCAATGTTTCTACAAAGTGCCAAATATCATTGATGAATCTTGTAGGGTGTCCATAATATGATGCAATTAAATAAATTCTCGTTTTTTGTCCAGACCAATGGAACATGCCAACTTCTCTAATTAAATCAGTTTTTTCTTTCCTGAGGAAAGCAACTTCAACTTAGGCTCACAAAAGCACTAGCTACTGTTACCAAGTCATAACAAAATTTTACAGATGCATCTCTGGGAGAAAGACACAAACTATTTCAAAATGCAGCATTAGAACTCAAACATACAGCAACGTTACAAGAGATCAATTTTTTCCTCACCATTCACTTACTCCATAGTATACCAAGAGATAGAAAGTTCAACCTAATTTCAGTACCACCTCAAATGATGAACTCTGAGGGACTAACCATGAGAAGGTGCTGCCTGATGTCCTGATCAGATGCCTCATGAATCCTCTCCATGATGGGGGTGAAGTACTTCTTGCAAGTTTTGCATGACACCTCCAACGCAACTTGAGTATTTTCGGATGTAGAGCCTGCAAGGAGCTTGTCAATCCGCTCACTGTTGCATAGTCCAGCTGCAGCACATACCATCTGCAATATAAAAATTAGCAGTGTTTCATGGATAGATATTGGAGAAAAGAAAGTATCTTCAAAAATTTTTTAGAAAAATTCTGCTATTATACCATCCACTACATCTTCAAAACAGGGTGCCTTCTTTCATGAAGCTGACAGATTCCAAAAGGTATTACACATGAGAATCAGGATCAATAATTAAGGTACATAAACACTCCAACATCAATCTCTATTATACCATCCACTACATCTTCAAAACAGGGTGCCTTCTTTCATGAAGCTGACAGATTCCAAAAGGTATTACACATGAGAATCAGGATCAATAATTAAGGTACATAAACACTCCAACATCAATCAGAGGCAAAACTGAGCAAAGGAATGCTTCAATTGTTCATATTCATGACTAAAAACATATAAAACACAAGTATTGATAGAAACAAGATGGGGCAAACAGCTGAAACTAAACATCTGGCTACTGAGAGAATTATAACAACTTTTCCCTGCTAATTCTGAGCATGTATAAAATCAATATTCAAAAGTCACATTATCAGCACCTTCCACATAGTTGACAAAAAACTTAACTATTTCTTGCACTCAAATAATTCATAAATGACTAAGTGTCTGCATGTCAGGCACCTGGCAGTTGGATACTCATGTCAACAATCAAACATACACATACAGTCAAGTCTTTGAGATCCAGTTATGTCCATTGACGATTCTCAAGGGATAAATGGAATACCTGTGCCAAGATTGGCAACTGAACAGTGGGACTACAACTGCATTTTAGTAGCCAGTCACAATGACCTTTTATCATTCTAAGACAGGATGTCCCAGCTCCTGGTGTTGTGAAAGTGCTAAACAAAAGATATTCCAACTAGATAATAAAATATTCACTAGATGAAAAACATTCATGAGAGGATTAGGATGAATAAAAAATGTCCCGGGCAGAAATCTCAGTGGAGTATCAGTTCACACAATTGAATTAATCAGAGCCTTGAAGATGTCTGAATCAAACAAAGTTATTAGAACATTCCTCTTTCCTTTGGAAAAACTAATTCATATGTAGAACTCACTTCAAAAGTTCATGAGAGTATTTTAAGTGAAATGCTTCACTGCACCATGTCTTGGACATATCTGTTCGCTGTTGGAAAAATTTACAATTAGCAGATAGAACTTATTTTCTCTATTGCTGTTCTCCCAACCTTATCTACATACTCAGCTCTAAACCTGAGGTAAGTATACACATTGGTCAATGATCCCTTAATTCTCAGGTATCTTAAGAAATTAGAATCACTAAACTTCTTAGATAGAGAGATATATGAGGAAAGGAGCCATGAATGGAAAGGTGAAAAAAGAAAGCAAAAGTAAAAAAAGAATTGAGAGAAACAAATTAGTGAATTAATGAATGGCAGCATTGATAAAGACTTAAACTTAAAAAATGACCTGAGGATTCATTTCAGAAGACAGGGTCTCAACGAGTTCGGGAATGAACTCGTCTGCAAGCTTCACACACTCATCAGCTACAATCTTGAGTGGGATCAGGCGACATGACCCTTCAAATACTTCCTTCAGCTCCTCCTATACCCACCCCAAAAGGAATACAAAAAAGTCATGCATAAGTATCTGGTAACAAAAGGAATGTCAAGTAAAAGTCAAGTAAAAACCTACTGATTAAGAAAATCGCACAGGTACACAGATGAATAAATTGTATAAGATACTAGTTTGTACCCTGTACTCCATCTTTAGTCCAAGGATGACAGATAAGCAAGCAATTCCATCATCAGAAAAGTATCAAATAATCTTTTATCAACTTCCATCTTGCCAAACAAACAAAAATCTTTCCTTATTAGCAAGGTTGTCCCCATTTAAAACATAAGTGTTATCATGGACAAGGTCATCTCATTTAATTCCATCCAACCAATCTTAATTCCCATCAAGAAATACTGGGATAGTATGAAGAAAAACATTTTCATACAACAAATGAAAGCTTGCTCTCATTCAGAGGCAAATGAAAACTCAATTTAATCATTTGCATGGCTGACTGAATATGATACCTGGGTCTCATTGCTCAGAAGAGTATCTCTGGCCTCTTGGACCATGTTCTTGCAGATGGTGCACACATCATCATCGTCCACCGGCAGCTTCTGCTTGGTCCAGACGGCATCAATGCAGTGGTGCAGTGCATTGCATTCTCGTGCATTCCTAATCGAATTGGAAAACCAAACACCTGTTCTCAGGTACAGAAGCTAAAATAGTCTGGCAATAGTGCTCATAATGATTCATGCTTCTCATGAATGGATTCATGGAAAGAATAAATTGGCTTTCAGAGCTTAACAAACACCATTATTGTAAATAGAACATAAAAAAAGATAACAGCCATTCCTGATAATACTTTAAATGCAATGAATTGGTATTTATAAGGTAAATATATAACATCTGTCACAACTCTTCCTCTCCTTTCAAAACTTTTGCTCAAAAATTGAAAAATAAAGACTAGTAGATCTCCTTGGCACAAACTGGGAATCCATATTTGATCATTTTCACCTGTCGAGTCATTGCCAAAAACATACTAACCCATCTCACAGTGATGATATAACTTCAATATATATCTTGCATGTCAGGAATCCTGATTCATTGATCAAGATGTGAATTATTAGCCTGTTTTGTTTCATTCCTATACAGAATGTATGCACCAGGGCTTGTGAGTCACTGAACAATCCTGAAATGTTTTGCCACTTCTCACACACTTACTTTCCTTAAATCTGATCATTCTTAATGCCTCTCACATAGCTGAATTTTGTATTTGCAAGTTCTGAGGCATAAATTGAAGAGTGAACTAAATTTAAAATATGTGAAGCATTATGCCCCTAAATGTCTCGAGTCTAACTCATTTTCATGCCACCAAAAGAAAGCACTCAAGCTTTTTCACTTTCAGCTCCCAGAGTTAAAAGCAGATTAAGCACAGGCAACACCTACACTGACAGAAATATTTGCCAAACTTTACATGAGTCAAGGTCCTTTTATCTCAAAAAATCAGATAATAGGAAAAAAGTTCAGAGAACTATTTAATTTCAAGGAGTTAATGTCTAAATTATATCATGATGTTGGTAATAAATCAAAGCAAGCTGTTATGCAGCAACTAGCTCCAGTGATTATGCACACTTTAACCCACAAAACACCATTTGTGATGCATATCTTTCATTTTCTCTGAAGTATAAACAGGATGCTAGAAACCAGGAGGGTCACTCTTTTTCAAAGAGCAATGATTCCCCTCCCCTTGAATCCAATCTGCATGCTTAAAATGGTTCTTCCTAAACCTGCACCAGAGGCTCAAGAGAGACTTAAAAAAGATATCAAATGGTGACAAACTGACCTAATGTGAGCACACCAGTAGGAAGGCCCCACAGTACATGCCTTGGAGCCAAGGACTGCTCCATTCTCGATGGGGGAACTTCTTGCAAGCGCCCCTGCAAGAGAAACAAATTCATTACATATTATAGTTATAAATGATCAGGGGTCAATGTACCTAACATGACAGGGTCGGTATGACTTACCAAAGAACATAAACGCAAGGAACCACAACATCTGTGGAAGAAAACAAAAGCAAAAATCTTGCTAGTATTGAACATAAACAGCTTATTCTGATGAAATGCTGTATCAAAACTGCATTAGCTAAAGACATTACCAGCATGAGCAACAGAGTCATTTTGCTGCAGGAAATCTTCAACAATCCCCTATGCAAATACAGTATATCCTAATAAATGAATATTTTTCATTGCTGGCCATCATATCCATGCCTCTATAGTGGATACTAATATATACTTAAGTCTAGCTTAGCTCCTCTCATCACTATATCTCATCTTACTTATGATCTCACTTTGGCAATTGTGTCAAAGAAAATGAAACTGTAAATATTTAAAACCAACAATTACATCACACACAAGCATTAATATCAGGTTACATCCCATGTCCAAGTAAACTGATAGATTTTCAACTCCACTGGTAAGGTACCTCCAAAAAGAACAGAAGAATAGGGATGAAAAACTGGAAGTGAAAAATAAGAAACTTAAAAAAGCAAAAAGCTAAAAAAAAGTTACTGGGACCATGAAAATGCACTCTTGGACCGCAAGCAGGTGTGGATGCAGATGCCCCTCTGGAAGGAATCGACTCCCCCCGGCATTGCACGAAATGCAATGCGGCTGCCAGTAAGGCGACAAAATATCAGAACGCTGTTCACAGGGTCCAACTTTCAGCTAAAAACTTCATTATTGGAAAAATATATCCCTATCACATGTCGAAAAGATTCACTCGGATTCTAAGAAAGGAAACGGTGGCATGAATCCAAGATGAATGTTAAATGCACTCTCTCTCTCCAGGGAGGAAAAAATACCATGCCTAAGCTGCAATCTTTGAGAAAGTATAAGCAAAAATGCCATAAGTCTTTGTTATGATGAGCTTTAACTGCATACTCAGCTTACGCTGGCTTCATGCAAACTTTTCCCATCTTGTCACAAAGATTGTAACATGAACTTGCAAAAGGAAATTGCTTAGAGAAAAAAAAAAAACGCAGACTCTCTATGGCTGGTCTCTATCACATTCACATCTACAGCCACAAAGGTGGTGAGACATATCAAACGGGTATTCCTGGCACGGTTGGGTCCAGCCCATCGAGGGAGCAAGATCCACCACGTGGCATTGCTCGATCCAATTGGTATCAGACACAGCTGTTGATGGTGATGCCAGCATAAACGGGTCTTGGTGTCATCGAGCGAGCTCGTCACAGATATCAACAATCGTGTGACCGCATCCAGTCGTTGCCAGATTGGTTAGTCAATGAAGGCCACGACAGCACCACCGATACCGGTCGGGAATCTGACGGCTCGTCAACGCAGCGACGTCGGCACGACCCAGTCGGGCCGTCGCCGTATTCAGAGCGGCTTGTCGATGATGGCCACCCCTGCGTAGCTGCGCCCGGTGCCCATCTGGGATGGAAGCAAGTTCCAAGCATTCGTCTTGGGATTGTACACTTCCACAGAAGGAAGATTCGAGGATCCGTCGTCCCCTCCAACCACGTACAGGAGTCCTCCCAAGGATACGACTCCTAAAGATAAATCAAACAACATTCAATTCATTTGAATGCAGTGGTGGAATGCCTAGGGATGACTATCGATGAGTAACTCAAGTTCTCCTCGCAGGCGGTAGCTAAATATAACAGGATTCTAGGCAAAATCCGGCGTTCCATAGTCGAGAGCTTGCGCGTTATTCTTCCATTGTATGCAGAACTGGGCAGACCCCATTTGGGGAATTGCTTTTAGTTTTTGAGGCCTACAAATAAATATGAGTTAACGGCCCACGAGAGGATCCAGAGGCGGACCTAGAGAATCACCAAGGAGGTAAGGGAACTTCCACACGAAAAGCGTTTTAAAGTGATGAGGCTAAAGAGCTAACTCGAAACGGTTAATGGTTAAGGTTAATGCGGGGGGATCTCCTCTGGGTCAATAAGGGGATCGATAACATAGAGCCTAGTAGTTTTTTTTTTCCCGTTCGATGGCAGTAACAGAACGAGATATAACCAACTTTAAGTACTGTAGCTAGAACCAAAGGAGAGGCGCAGGTTCCGACAGAACTTCTTTACTTATAAGGCAGAGAAGGCACGGAACGCGTAAAGAGACATGCAGTGGTTGCTTCGCGTCGTGACTAACTTTGAGGTTTCATTCCTTTAGGAACAAAAAAAAAGGAAGAAATGTAAATGACTAGGCACTCGGAGGATATGCTCCCACAAAGCATCATTAAGAGAAGTATGCATATCTCATATCTGGATATGGACAAAAGTGGAACGCAGGACCTTGACACGGAATGTCCTAAAGGGCAGAAATGCTTCTCGACTTTTTCCGACCTGGAACTTGAACCTTCATAGAGACTCCTTTATACACGGTCTCATATCTGGATATGGACAAAAGTGGAACGCAGGACCTTGACACGGAATGTCCTAAAGGGCAGAAATGCTTCTCGACTTTTTCCGACCTGGAACTTGAACCTTCATAGAGACTCCTTTATACACGGTCTGAGTAAGGACTTACCAATAACTAAGGGTGGATTTTTGAACAGAGAACTATCCGATAATGCAGTTTTATTCCAGGGAAAATACATATTATTTCCTGGAAATAAAGCAGCATTATCGGATATTGCTCTGTTCAAAAATCCACCCTAAAACTCTCTGGTGATTAGACTGCATTCTCCAGGAATGATGAATGATTGAATGAACTTCTCTGAGAACTAACTGTATTGTCAACTCCCTTCTCTGAAGTCATGAAGTGCTTCAATCAATGTTGACTGCTGACCCTTTCATTAATTCTAACGGATGACAAGGGTTTAAAATTTGCAGAGACGAGAAACTTTTTTTTTTTTTAAGAGAACCTAGCTAATGGGACATCTGATGCTTTTCTTTCATTGATTACGTAATTCACAGCAAAATATGGAACTGCAGATCAGCACCTGCTCTTTTTGAGCTCACAAAAAAAAAGACTTGGAAGAGCGAGCTCCTGAACCCAAAGAAAAAAAAAAAGGTTAGACGAAGGAAACGTATTGATTATAGACTCTAAGCACACCTGCGTTGCGTCGACACAACGCCATGTCGGCAACGGGAGCCCACATGTTGGTGTCCGGGTTGTAAGTCTCGACGCTCTTGCGCACCAGGGGCCCGTCGTGACCCCCGACGGCGTACAGCTGCCCCTCCAGCACTCCGACACCTGGCCGCAGAGAAAAAATCCACCTCTCCTAAAGACACGAGAATAAATAATAAATGATAATAAATCGAGGAACTGACTGGCTCCACTGCGCCTCGCAGACATCTCCGCCACGAGGGACCACCGATTCATCTTCGGGTCGTAGCACTCCACGGAGCTGAGGCACTGCCTCGACGCCCCGTCGTACCCACCCACCTGCGAAGAGATCCAACCGAGCATTCAGGGACATGCGATTCGACTCTGTAACCCGATACGATACGCGAAGGAATCCCCTTTCTTCAACCGGAGCAACGCAGGACGCCCGAGTGACTCATAGCATGTGCACGCGATAACCTGACTCAGTGCTCTGACTCGTACGAGCGAAGAACGCCAACAATGACCGATATGAACTCTGTCTCGGCGAGAATTCCGTTCCTTTTCATTCATTTCTCAACGACACGATGCTGGAGTTTCCACTTCGTCGGACGTAAGAAACAAAATGCGGACTTCCCCTTGGCTTCTACCTATCTGTACGCTTCGATCAGTGCCTGGATTCCGTTACCGCGATGACTCCTCAGATTCGCGACAGAGTCCT